ATTTATTACTAAATTAATGCTATTATCATATTATTTCTTTGTATTATGAATATATCTATGATTTATGAATATATCCAGATAGCATATATAGGTAATACATTAATACCTATGTAACATATTTATATATTTATTATTTTTATATAAATCGTTTATAACAATATAATTTGTATTTGTATATAATAATATAATACCTACCTACATATTATATCCCCTTAAAATCAAAATTAAATTATAGGAAGGCAAACTTTGAATAATTGAATGTTTTAACTTTTGAAAGGACATGTTTATCTGTGGGTTGACACTAGAAACTATAGATTGTTAAAAAAAATTTTTTTTACCCTTAATGACAATAAAACAATTAATTTAAACCATTTAACTATTAATCACCAAATCGTCTCCAATGTGAAAAAAGTGTAATTTCAGGAAACACGGATTTATTTATTATTTTTCATTAATTTTGCAATGAAGATAGCACATGGGAGATTTTATCAATAAATAGATAATTTTGTTCTGAATTCAGGGATAACAAAACCTCAAAATCATAAATTTGGCACATAGGAAGTTTGTTCCCGTGAACGATGAAATGTTTTTATTACCCACTTGAATATTTGCCAATAATTATCGCCATATTTATCCTAAATTTTTAAAATATACGTCATCACATTTCTTAAAATTCTAATCAAGTTTGCCACTATACCGGACATAATGAGCAGTTAACCATGCCTGCTCTATTCCCCTAAATACGGCTCAAATGGTAAATAATATACCATCAAGTCTGCCATGATTTCACATAAGTACATAAGTATATAACTATAATAGCCTGTACATGTATTAAAAATTAATCGTTACTGCCTTGCAGGTTTTCGGAGTCAAACGTGATGTTGATATGGCGCGGTTGTTCGGTTGTTCGGTCACTGAAAACTGTCGCGTCCATAATGATTATTATTTACGTTCCGTTATAATAATATTATTATTATAAGAAATTAGGGACGAATGACGACGACAGACTGACCATTTATACCTATATACCTAACATGCATAATGCCCGGACGCGGTTGTCGTTTTTATCAGAAAAACGGGTTTATATATAGATTCTATAAAATAATTAATAATAATAATTTTAAGTATATAATAACGGTGGTAGGCAATACTTTTAAGTTTATTATTTACGCCCAGCTATATACTTAACGCGACCGGTGCGGTGTCCAGTTATTAATGTGTTTGCATTACGTATAGGTTGGTGCGCCACTGCCGCATATTATATAATATTATTATTTTATATATCGTCGTTTCAATACAGAGTCGTCCGGACAATGTCACAGCAGCAGCACATAGGTATAATATAATAATTATTTAGGTATACGTATAACCGTTGTTTTAACCTTAATAACGGCAGGATGGTTTACCTACATTTCGAAATCGTTAAACGAATTTGCATAAAATCCGGGTACATAAAAGTGATTGAGTAAATAATATATAAACGCGTCTTATATAATATAATATAGGAACATAATATTATTATTATCATCATAGCAATAATGTATGAGACTCGGCGGGTTCAGCGGCAATTATTACGGAAAATTCTATACAAGCGTTAAGGTTAACTGCTGCAGAGGACTCATTAGCTACTAGAAAGACAGGACTAAGCGATGTGTAAAAGTTTATGTATAGTTTCTTGATATTGGGCTCACTCACATTCTATACGCACGACGAGTAATTCAGATAATAATTTGTACGACTATAAAAGAAAAAAACCTTTTATTTACTAGCGTGTAAATTCTTATAACATTAATGTCAGAAAACCTAATCCCAAACGAAATTTGCAGATATAAATATAACGAGGAAAACATATAATAATCATACTTAAGAACAAAAAACATGTTCTTAATACACGTTTCATCGTACATATTTTTTCTTTTATTCCTGTACATAATATTATGTAAATGAATAATTGAAATCGTGATAATTTTCAATTGTCAAGATAAACGGTCAAATATAAATGGGCAATAATATTCCGTTTCTTGACAGAAATTATTTTGAAATCTAATAAATAGATAACATTGGTTCATCATTGTGAACGGTTCGCGGAGTTATATTACTTATATTTATAATCATTTATCACTATTAAGTATTGCAATGATATAAGATATAAAAATAATTAATTTTTTCGAGCATTAAATGCTCGAGAAATTTTCTTTGATTTAAAATAATTATCGTACTAACATAGTATTAGTAATTTAAGGAATATTATAAATTTATAACTTACCTATAAATATTATAAAATATATATAATATATTTACCTAATTATTGTTAGGTATATTAAGCCTTAAGGCAGGTAGCAATATACATATCACAATATTATATATACAATTATTATGAATTAGAACGTAGTTTAATAGAATTTTTAATATAAAATACATAAAAAGCATTTTGTGGGTGCATTTATTACTTATCATTAGGTTAGGTTACGTTAGATTTTTTTCTACTCGAATTGTTTCTGAATATTATTATTTATTACTGATAGCCGACACTTGGTGCGGCCGTGCAGACTGAGTGGGGCTACTTAATATATATTTTCATATTCAATTAAAATACGAAGTATTTGTATCATAAATGTCACGATGATTTTATACGGAAGCTCAACCAGTCTTAACGACTCGCAAGTTGATATAATAACTATATAAGATCCATTAAACGGGGTGAACAAGTTGAACCACGTCTGGAAAATCGTGACTATAATATAGGATCTAATTACCGGTCCTATGGTATATTGTTCAGCTTTTTTCACCTATGGTATTTTGAAAAAAATGTTAGTGCTGTTTGGTGTAGGTATAATTAAATTCTAAAATGCCTATGTATGTATTGTTTATGTATTTAATTGACCTCCTTAACATAAAAATTGTTTAAATGAAGGATCCAATTGTATTTAAACAAAACTGTCTGATTAATGATTATCCAATATTAATTATTGAAATGTATTTGAACAACGATTCTAAGCAGATCAGAGTTGCGTGATTTAATTTCTCCACTTCTTTGTCTTTCACATTATTGTATAGATTATCACAATATGGGCAAGGTTTTTTTAAAATGTACATCCAAATTAAAACCACATTATAAAAAGTATGTTTGCTTAAAAAATCCAAGTATTGTTTAATTGTAATTTGTAAATGTAGTGAGAAAATCGTTTGATCGAATGAAAACTAAATATTATAAAATCAATTTTTTAATTGAATAAAAATTAGATTAGGTAAATATTCATAACAATAAAAATTCGCAAAAAAAATTTTTTTCATACCATATTATTATGCCACCGATATAACTAATTATTATACAGGTATACATCATAAGTATTCTATAGGTTTACCATATATTACAATAAACAGATTTTCGACAACTCGATGTTAGTGGGATTTCGAATTAGAGATTCGAAATATCAAAAAAAAAAAAAAATTTGGTAGGTACCTTATAAGTATTATGAAACATGTAAAATATATAGTTACACCGCGAGCTACACCTATGTATCATGTATGTATAATAATACTATTATTTATAATACTAGTTATTTAGTTATACATAACTTATAATAATATAGGAACACTTTGACCTCGACTTTGACTGATCAATCACGGAATTAATTTCGAATTTCCACGAGTTGAATTGAATTGAGAATTATGAAATTTCACATTTTGGTGGAAATTCGAATTATTTTGAGCGTAAACCTTATAGGTACCTAAATATATTTTTCTTCGAATTACTGCGAGATTCCCAAGGGACTGAGCTTTTACCTAGAATTACCTATCGAGACTCGAAGTATCGAATTATCGAATGTTTGCATTAACAAGAATCGAATATAAATAAAAGAATTAAAGTATACCTTAAATATTAATACTTATATAAAATAATTAAAAAAATGGATAATAATTAAAATGATAAAACTTCCCCATAATATGACATAATAGTTAATATTATGATACGTGATACGTCATTTTTGTTTTATTAGTTAATACATAACAGCTAGTGATAGGTATATTACGAATTTTAAATAATATTATAATATCTACTTATTATAAAATATAAGAATGCGATTTATACCTACATACTTGGAAAAAAATAGTTCAACCTACAGTGTTACGGTATTGTTAATAATAGAAAAATAAACTATAACCTAGGTAATAGCGGTATAAATATTAAATATATAATAAAATATCCTCAGAAATATAGGTTCAGTTTCCACTCAGAATCGTTAATTCAATGACGATGTATAATGAACGCCGCCTATACTAGGGCACTATAGATACAGGTATGCTACGCCGCCATTTTGCGACTAATAATCTAATGTGAATATGAATTTCTCCCCTTTATTTTATCATTGATAAAAGAGTCGCAAAATGGTGGCATAGCATACCCATGGTATGTAGAGCCTTACCTATACTAGTATTATTATAATATAGTATTAGATAGTTAATACATAATAAATTATATAGCAAAGAAAGTTCCCTAATTTTTTTTTTATTTTACTTATTTTAGAACATTACAATTTTACTTTTACAAAAGTAAATAAGTATATTTTTCTACTTTTATTAAAACCGACTATGTCCAAGTAATAATTATTCACCCCCAAGCTTTCCGGTAAAAAATATACAATATATTACTTAGCCACTTAGGTAATGAGCAAAAGCTATGATATTCTAATATAGTAATATTATACGAAAAGCGAGTGTATTTAAATATTTTGTAGACATCGCCACAGTTGTGTGCTCATAATATTATGATTATGATTTTATCCTACTCTTATATGTCATTGTAAGTTGTAACCAATGTTTTTTTCAAATAATATGTGAAAAATACAAGTTATTTATAAATCTTTGACGGGTAATTTTTTTATTTTATTGACCTGATAGGCAGGTACATCGAACATACCCAGATATTATAATAAACCTACAATCTATACTACGACTACATTACAATTTACAATACAAATATTAGACATCCGATGTACCTGCGTTGGAGTTCTTCTGCGGCACCGCGGCGTACGACACGCAGGCGCCCGTCTCGTACGTGATGGCGGCACATTGGTCGTCCAACTTGCAGGCGTCTATGCACTGCGGCAAAGTGAACAGGGCCAACTGCTCGCGCATCGCGTGTTTGGCCGCCGGACTGGCTGCGTACCCGGTGAGCAGTTCAAAGTTGACATCACCGCCGCCGTCGCACTTGAGAGACGAGCAACCCGCCATCATCAGTACGACCAGCGACAGCGCCACCGGCAGATGGGCGAGTCGCAGCGCGTGCGGGTGCATGACAATATCAGCCTTGACAGCAGCAGCTCCACCCGCGTCGGCAGGTGTCAAAACGCGACAAAAACAGTCTCGAATCAGACGCCGTTGGCCAAATCGTCGTAATACGCGTAAATAATATTATTATCTATTTTAAAACAATATTGTGTTGTGCACACCGTTTTCGAGCTCGAAATTTAAACTATTTAAGATCTATAGTTGTGTGGTGTATATTTTGAAGCGATTCGATGGGTATAACTCTTAGTGTGGTGTGCGCGCGGGGTGTAGAGGTCGCGACGTCGGCGCCGCGGAGAGCCGAATAAGACTGACGCGTCGGAAGAGTCAAGAGTGCGGCCGACTACGGTCCGCGGGCACGTGGTCGCGGCGCGGCGGCCGTGGTTCCCGGGAGTCGAGAGCGGGAGAGAAGAACCGCTGGCTGGCGAGCTGCCTCCGCCGCCGTCATTTCTCTGCGACGATTATTATTATTAGTAGTATTCGGCGTTTAATATTATATATATTTATTTATTATTATTATTTATATTATTATTTATTACTATGACCGTTGCCAGCCGCCCGCTCGGATCGGTCGAAATAATAGATGCGTATTAGCTTCGCACAAACAAATAATAATAATAATTTAACAACTGCGTCAACATCTAGCTGCTGGACCGCGGGAAACCCGAGCGAATGACCTAATAGAACCCCGTTTCTGTGAATCGAAAATAATAGGAACTAAATTATTTCATTTCGATTATTATCCCATTAACCATCAACTGTAAATATAAATATATATTTACGTACAAATATAGTACGCGTAGCTATAGGTAAAGTAGGTAAGTACCAACAATATTATAATAGAATAATATATAGGTACCCACCTACAACGGACGATATAACGTACATTATGGCTTTTTATTTACAGTCGTCTGTCTCTCCTCCGTCTTCTCGTTCAAAATTAATGGCTGAAACGTTATGTTTAGTTGTATACTTGTATGTGTTCCTATTTAAAATATTGGAAAATATATATATAACACCGCCGTTACAACAGTTCGAAGTTTCAATAATACTGCCATTTATCGGCATAAACATTCAGTCCCCGCGAAGGCCTCTCGGGAACATTAACGCCAGCACACCAGAGACTAACGTATGAAATTTGAATACAATTTAATATTATTCATTATAAATTATAATTGTATTTATTTGTTTATAAATTATCGGGGCTAGCCTTTTTACAGTATGGAATGTGGTATACATGACAATTAAATATAAAAAAGAAATATATTATACAACACAAAATAATATTAAAAATACAGATAATACAGATAATGTAATAATTCAAAAAAATAAAAATAAAATACAGGTTGACAATGAACTAATTAAAATTATAATACTTTTTTAAAATTATGATTGACTTAAATCTAAAAGTACCTATCACTCGGAGACTAAATTAGCAAGTTTCTGAGCACAAACAAGACTCATTACCGGCTTTCGACTAAGTATGGGACAACAAAAATATCGTGATTTAGAGAATTATAATTTATAATACATTATAATGTGAAACAAAAAGATGTTTGTACATAGGTAATAATGTTCAACTCGTAGGACAACTTGATAATACACCCTCCCCCCTTGCCACTATTCAATTTACAAATACGCTAATTTATTAAAATGTATTTACTTATCTATAATTCCAAGTAATGTACCTATTATATTAACATTAATTTTTCTTTCGTTAAAAATTTCTAATAAAAAAACTAAGTTCCTACTCAATTGACTGACGAAATCTATTTTAAAACTATTTTTCCGGCTTGGTGAGGACAATAATTATTAGGTAGGTACCTATATTGACAAACACGTTAATTATTTTCCCGTTCCCTCACTGAAATTTTTGTTTTATCACTTACTTATCTTCTATCGGTAATTAATCATTTGTCGGTTGCTCACTCCAGTCATTCCTAATTCCGATTTGTAATATCGTATTATAATATAGTTTTTACCTTCAAGCGAAATTCGTAGAGTGCTAAAACTAACCATTAACAATTAATAGGTAGTATGTTAAAATCATGGTTGAAGTATACATTTTATTGCATATCGACTCGGATTGTTATCATAAGAAACAAAATGGCTGCGTAAAGGGATATCACAAATATCAATTTTTCTTATCATCAAAAATACGCAGAAAAAAGCTAACAAATTCAAAATCCCGCGCTTACATATTTGATTATTATTGGCTCCCTTTACACTGCCATTTTTGTTTTTGTCATCAAATATTATTTTATTGACAAGGGGTATATATGTAATATTAGTCGTAAGATTTCTCCAATTAAATTTGTTTTGTCTTATTAAAATATAAAACAATCTGTAGGTACATTTTTTAGTACATTAGGTAATTTGGACGTATAATATATAAAGAAACATAACATTAAAAGATATTTCAGAGGATAAAATTGTACGAGAAATGTTTGTTATATATTGCTACCTATTATTATTATTTTAACGAGTCCTTAAAAAGTGTTTTTTTACTAAACGGTTGATTTAGCAACATAATATTTGTCTCCAATGCATAGTCCATCGATTTTTTTTTTTTTTTTTTAACGTTTATTTAATGGAGGCACTTAAGGTCAGGATTTTAGACTAGGATCATAATTTGCTAGTAAGAGAGGATGAGGGGAGGTAGAGGTATGAACAATTTTAAAATTAGTAGGTCACGACACCAGGTACGTTTAAGACGCCTTCTGGGGTCACCAGGAATAGCGTTGGTGGATAGCTGGGAAATCAGGGGATTATGATGGCTGTGGAACTTGCAGTTTAATGAAATTTGAGAGGACGGTGGTAAGGAGAGAGATAAGAGGGTAATAAACCTATAATAAATAGATTTGAACTCGTCAAGGAATTTTAGAAGTGAGGTTTCGTTGGTGTTTGTGGAGGTGTTAGAGTTTGGGGACTGGTGACCCTCAGTTACATTTGCATACGTACGTGACCTGGGTGTGTTTTCGGAGCCTGGTTGTTGCTGTTGATATTCAGGATTGGTGTTGAGGTTAGGAGGCGGTAGCTGCTGGGCTTTCTTGCTTGAGGTGTTGTTGTTGTGTTTCCGGGAAATTGTTTGATATATTGTGCATCCCTTGTAGTTGGATCCCATCGATTTGAATTTTAAACTGTTGACATAAACTATATATTATTTTTATGCAATGACATATGAATAGATACCTAGTATACCTACACTAGGTACACTTATTATAATAAATGTCCGTTCTTAATATAGGTGCAATTATTCATATAATCTGTGCTGTTACTTTCTATATAACAACGTATCATTATTAGATTAAGGTAGCCGGTGGGTACATATTATTATGTTCTCTATATAAATAATATTAGGTATCGTGCACGTCATTATTATAACCTAAGGTGATGTATATTTGTAAATCAAACTGCAATTTGTATATCTGCAGTCTGGGTCATATAGGTACTGTTCATAAATAAATAATAATAAACTACCAGAAGCAATGGCACATGGCTGTACCTATATAATAATATAACACCTATCTACTATATTATCCATTGACGAGTGGCTCGACTGCAGTGGTATTTTGTATTAAATTTTTTGTCGGCATCTCGTGTATATCGTACATACATAATATACTATATAAACCACGACACAACAGGCAAGGCAATGAAAATATTCATGAACAAAGTACTAAGTAGGCCAGTTTATAAGGTATGTATACCTACTCAAAAGTGGAAGAGTGTTTGGTACTAATGGGAAAATAATATATGATAAACTAGTTTCATAAGAATAAAAAAGAAAAAAATGATTTGTCACCAAGATAAATAGAAAAGAAAACTATGTAATAAATAAACCATTAGTCAACCTTTTTAAAAACTGTCATGCTATCATAAAGTTTAAAATCAATAAATAATATTATTAATACTTAATAATATTACGTATAGTATAGCCAAATAGATACAATATAACTAATTTATAATTACATAATAACATTTTTGTTTTATTCCGAGCAATATAAAAGTGCATTATAAAGAATTTGCACCTATACTTTTCATAATAGATTTATGATTTTGTTGCTGAAGAACTATCATTATGAAATCTTTACCTGAAAAAAAAATGATTTTAACATATAATTTAGTTTATCTAATAGGATATTAATTAATTTTATTTTATTTTATTTTACCTATACTATTTTAAATATTAATTAATTATAAAAATTCAAATTTGTTTTATAGTTATTAAAATTATGTTAGTGGTTAGTACCCAATTGATTTTTCAGTTATCTATATATACTTGTAGAAGATAGTATTGAGTATTGACATATTGTATATTATATATTATACAATATATAGGTACATTCTACATACATAATTTAAGGGGCCTGCACGCGACCTGTTTTTTTGCTCAAAAACATGCCTTACAGGAAAAACTCTCACGCCTCGTAGATTGGTCCGATTTCCGTAATTTTTTTTTTGTTAGATAGAGGAAGACTTCTTACAGGGCGCATTGGACTTGGATTTTCAACATTATTTTTCTAAGTCTTATGTTACAAGTTTGAATTTAATCAATTTTTACAACTTTTTAGTTTTTGTATTATTTTTTGTTTTTAGCGACGTAATCAAAAATCGAAGTCCAATGCGCCCTGTAAAAAATATTCTTCTATCTAACAAAAAAAAAATTACGGAAATCGGACCAATCTACGAGGTGTGAGAGTTTTTCCTGTAAACTGTGTTTTGACCGATATAATACACCCTATCAACCCCCCCTAAATAGGTATTGGGTAGTAGATTAGTGGAAAAGTCTTATAATTGAGGTGGCAACTAAAATATAAAATTTAATTTTCAAATTTTATAGAATTGCGGAAAATTTGAAAAATCGCGAGCAGGCCCCTTAATAATAATAACACCAATCTACACACAGTCGATATTAAAATGTTATTTCACTTCGTCCAGAATTAGTTTTGTAAGCAACTATAAAGCAACAATAATCAAATAACAAATGTTAAAATATTTTTAAAACTATTAAAACTATTAAAACTATTACTGCTTCGTCAACGTCAGATAGTACATAATATTATATGTCTTTAAAATACAGATTATGAAAGATCCACCAGTCATACTTAAGGACGTACTACCAGAGAATCTTGTATTAAACAAATTGCGATTTTGTGGGTGATATAAAATTTAGATCAATGGGTTGATAAAAACAAAATAAACAAGTAATAAAAGTCTCTCTATCATTTGATGCCAAGACTCAACATTATCTTTTAGTAAGAAGTTTGTCAATTACCTTGGACACAATTTCTAAAATTCCATGCCTATTTTTATAAAACAAATAGTTTTTGCAAAATTGTAATGCTAAATAAACAATTGTTAAAACTGGCTAATAGAAATTATCTGATTTTTAGTTATAAGTACATTTTATGTAATTCTGATTTTTTTTTTTTTGGTATGATATTATGTATTTTCAGATTTATATAATTATATTGTAAAATCACCCTAATTTTTGTTGTCATTTTCATATAATTATAATTATTCTCTGTTTCTGTAATTCTATATCTTTGCCACAAGCTTGTGCTTTACGAAGATATATATCTCAAATATAATATAATGTAATGTATTTTTGTTCTAAGCTTAAAATGTTGTATGAGAAAAAAAATTTAACAACAATTGTAACGAATGGAAAAAAAAGTTGTTTGATTGAAATATGGTATAAGTAGATAGGTACGCGTGTAACATTTCAAAACAATAAAATGTATAGTAGTCAAAATATTATTTGGGTAAAAAAATATTACAAAATAAAATTTACCAGGTGCCACCAGTACCTCTCGTCTTTTAGAACCCATTCGTAAAACAGTCAACTCGTTTGACGGATCCAAATTTCTAACAAAACTCTTCGCGTTGTCAGCCAACTTCATTATCATTTCAGCGTGGCTAACAGATGATCTGTTGTCTAATGTTGATGTAATGAGATCACCCATAATTATTATTATTATTTAAATTATTATCCGTATCAAACATAATAATATAATATGATAAACAAATAATTTAATGATAAAAAAAACAGAGCCCGAGTAAGGACTAAAGATTGAGTGTCACAAGCACTACATGAATAAGTAATAATAAGTTAATAAGTCTAAGATCACAACAGTTAGGTGCCTACTACCTGTTAACCTACAACCATAATAAGATACTGTTCGAATACACACCATTATTGTTTACCACAATAACACCAACAACACCGTTTTGAGATTGGATGCGTTTCAAAGTTTCTTCGAATTCGTTTTGAACATTATTCATTTTCTACTTTAAATTCTATAATTATTATTGTCCGAACTTTAAAAAGAGGCGATATGTAATTTAATAAGTATTACAGTCATGCAAAACGTACTAATTGAATAAATAGGAAGTATGAGTGAAATTATACAAGTCGTTTCCATGATTACATAATATTATATTATCTATACCTACGATAAACAGCATAGGTAATATTATATTATTATTATTATTAGCGTAATTTTTAAGGAGTTATGTATAGGCAATTATTTTGATTCATACCTCTACGATTTTGGACTTGTACAAGTAGTGAAATATCATTGAAATGTATTAATATTATAACAAATTAAAATACTTGGCACATATTATGTATGCAAACAACACAAAAACATGGCATATTTTTCAACACTTATATTTTATAAAGGCATCTAGTTGACGAACAAAAGTAGTACCTACCTATAATATTTTCGACCAAAAATTCACGACATAACTGAGGAGGGAGGAACTATTTAAGTATAACGGGTTTTAATTTTGAAAACGGATTATGATTGATTACCCAACGAGTTTCCTAGATTTTAATAGAGGCAATTATACCAAAATATTTCAAAAATTGTTGTGTCGTGATAATGTGATAATAAATATTAATAAATAAAAAAACGCTATTCATTATTCTATGTTGATATCAAAGCTGAAAAAATAAATATTCAAAACCGTCTCTATTATATTATAAATTAAAAACCTAACAAACTTAATAATCAATCAAAATTAAAATCTCTCAAACAAAATTCTTAGTTTTATCTGGCTCTTTGGTAAATTACCTGCAGTATTGTTCAATCGAAAATAGTTGATCACAGTTTTAATCTTGACAAGAATAAATATTTATATAACTCTAAAACAAAGGAATTTATATACATGCAATTTTCTCTGGTTGTTTATATTTGCGTTTTCTGTACATAATACATTTCAAATATTTGATTTGTTTTGAACTTGATTTTAGAGACGTTTTCAGTTTCCAATTTTATTAGTCTTTTTTTCTATGAATGTCAATAATGAACTTTATTTGTTGGGTAAAAAAGTTTGAACATTTTATACAAGGCTCCTACTATATTTTTACAATGACATTTGGAAAAATTCACAGTTTTTTTTATGAACAAGTCACGAAAAAATTGATTTTTAATAATTATTTATAAACATTCTTCTTTTTAAATCTAAGATTTGAAAATAAAATACAAGATTCCTCATAAGTTTGTTTACCTTTATCAAAAAAAAAACAAATGTTTATAAAGTTCATATTTTTACAACATTGGACTTCACATGTAGCGAATAACTGTAAATACATGAAAATTTGACTGAATGTTTATATTTTCATTTTCTATACACCATAAGATTTTGTAAATATTTTGACTCTTTTTAAACTGTTTACAGACATTTTCAGTTTTAAATTTTAGATTCTGAGTGGAACGATGAATGTATTGATTTTACAATGATGTGTGTTTTTTTTTTGTGTCTGTCATCACCTTTTAGGACAGTAAAAGTGCTTGGATTTTCTTCAACAGTATCATTTCTGGTAGGAAAGTGAATTTAGTTGGTACTTTGGGGGGTCAAAAGTAAGAATTTCCCAGTAGTTTCCAAAAGCGCCGTGAAAAACAAAAGAAAAATTAAGGAAAAACGGAAAGTTTTACGCAACATCTGCTTTCGAGAAAATCGATTTTGGTTTTTGGTGTAACTTTAAAACAAATGACCGTAGATAAGTGAAATGTTCACTGGTTGTTTATATTTGCATTTTCTATACACGATAATATTTTCAAAATATTTTGATTTATTTTGAACTGTTTAGGGACATTTTCAGTTACCAATTTT